GACAAAAAATCCACACCATCAAGAAATACCTAATGTCACCATTAAGAATTGAACCCTAGACCTCCTATTTACAAGTCCAAGCCCCTAACCACTAAGCCATGAGTGTTTCTTGAAACCTCAAGGGAATACTCCCTTGTTAAACCCCTCAAGTCCCTAAAACCCACAAAATCCCCAAATCAAAAACCCTTCTTCCTCCTCTTCTTCCTCCACACTCCCTCTCCTCCTCCCTCTCACGCACCCCGCTGCCCCACCAAAGCAACCACCCACCATCACCTCACGCCCTCGCTAATCGGACGCCGCCACCGCCCGGCCACTCCCCGCCGACCTTGCCCCGCCTCGCCGCCGTCTAAACCGAGCCACCGGAGACCATCCGCCATCCACCCGGACGCCACCCAGCTGCAACCCGCTGCCCAGTCGACCCCACAGCGCCACCACACCCCCACCACACCAGAGCCGGACCCCACCTCACCGGAGTCGACCTCGCAAATGGAGAATACGCCGAAACCCCGCCGCCGCCTCGCCGGAAAACCGCACCGCCTTGCCGGAGAACCCGCCGGAAAACCGCACCGCCTCGCCGGAAAAATCGCCGGCAAACATCACCATCAAACGAGCATCACGATGCCAAAGAAACCCCTCGGAATCCGCACCCCGGAGTGGAGCAACGCTGATTACACCGTAATCGGAGGTAAAGCACTTGAACCCGACCAATTCTCTCCGGAATTGGTTGACATGCTCAAACACCAAGGGCTTTTAGATACTTACCTCGCCATCAAAGGGGACACATACCCCGAATTGGTGAAAGAATTCTACCAACACCTTGTGGCCACCAAACGGGGTGACAAAGTAGAAATTACCACCAAGGTCCGTGACAAGGAAATTGTGCTTTCCGAAGGCTGGTTGGCCAAGCTCTTGAAATTGACCACCACGGGTGTGTCTAACTATGACCGAAAGGGGTGGATTGATACCCAAACTACGGGATACAAAGACTATCTCGGGTACTTACTCGGGAAAGAGGACGGGTTCACCTCGGCCACTCGACCAAACCGAAAGTGGCTATCGGCGGAGCAAAAGATATTGGTTATGATTATAACCGATAGCCTCTTGCCCACCAATAACAAGAGCAAGGACGTGGGGAGCTTGGAGTGCACCTTTGCGTATCTCCTAAAACATAAAATCAAGTTCAACCTGCCGGCACTCGTGCTAAAGCACATAGAGTTCTGCAAAACAAACAACCGGCTTAGTCTACCCTACGGGATGATCCTAAGTTGGATCATAGAAAAGAAAGGGGTGGACCTAAGCCACACCGAGGTCAAAACCGCCAATGGTATGGTTTTCAATGCCCAAAACCTCCGCCGCAACGACATCTACTACACCGAAGGAGGAAACTATCTCACCCTCGAAGAAATTTGCCAAAAACCCGAGGAGGAACGTAGGGAATTGGTTGATCGGTTGGACATCTCCAACAAAAAGCTCAAGCGAGCCATGCAAGATTGCGGAGGTACGGAGGGAAATGAGGGACAAGAGGAGGAAGACGGGCCTAACCCGTCAGTGCAACCACAGCCAGGAGGGAACCCGAGGGGACAAGACGAGGGTTCGGTCAACGAACGCATACTCGCACAACTCGACCGGCAGAATCAAATCATGGAAGAAGGGTTCTCATCCTTGATTCGCACCACACGCGCACTCGATCAAAGGGTAGCAGCGATCGAGGCCGCCTTGGGCACTCGCGGTGCACCCAGTTCCAGCGCAGGAAACCGAGGTACAACCGAAAACTTCTTTATCACAACACCATCAAAAGTTCAGCCTACACCAAGCCAAGACAAACGTAAGGCCGCAACCCTAATCAGGAGGCCGAGCTACGAGGTGTCTAGGGGTGAAAGGATGGACTATAACACCAGGCTTCGGGGACGAAGCCCCTTGTAAGGGGGGGAGAGTGTAACACCCCGTGTTACGGCCCCTAAAACCATTTAATTAATCAATCAATAGCCCAAGAGAAGGAATAAATCATAATGCTTAATTAGGGAAAAAGGCCCACCATAGTCCATGGGCCCTCATATATAAACCCAACCCCTAAACCCAATCCTTAGTTCCAAAAGGAATAGAATTAGCGAGCCTATAATATTAGTTCCTAATTAGGACAACTAGATATATAAATAGGGGACTTAAGGGGCACCTAGAACTCCCCACAAGAATAACGCCCCACCACCCCGAAAGAGCTCCAAGAATCCCCGTAGAAGAAATCAAGAAAGCAAGAAAGCTTAAAGAAAGACCCTTCATAGCCAATGAATTAATTAAGGCTAAGAGGTAACCCATGTCTCAACAAAACCTATTTTCATAGCTACGATTCCCCCTTAGGGTTTCCCCCATATTATTGTGATTGGCGAGATATGATGATAATTATTGATGTTTGATGTGATGATCCCATGAGGGATCTTGATAATCTTGATATTGGGAGATTCTTGATGATTATGGAATTCTTGATGATTATATAGAGTTCTTGATGATTATGTGTTGTTCTTGATAATTGTGTGATGCTCTTGATGTTTATGTGTTATTATTACCGAATCTTGTAATTAGAAGACGAACCGTATACTTGTTGATATAAAAGTGATTAGAACCCTATGTTGTATCGTATGATCTTATTCTTGGATTATCGGGTGGGGAAATCGCATGTTTGGGTGTTGATTATATTAGAAAAGCATGATAGGTTATGTGCCGTCGTTTCTCGTATTTGATCCGTTAATTGTCTACGTGTTAATTATTAGTTGCGTTGTAAAGTGTCTAAGCATGGTTTCGGGTTCCACAAAGGTTCCCGGGACGTTATTGTGTGAAAAGAGTCAGTGGGGGGTAGGTGGGGGGGTAGGGGACCCGCCACCTACCCACGGCCGAGAAAACACCGCCCGGCAGCGGGTAGCCGGCGGGCGGGCAGCTGCCCACCGGCGACCCGCTGCCCGGAGCAGTACACTCCGGCGGGCAGCCGGCGGGTGGCCCCCCACCCACCGGCTACCCGCTGGAAATTCATCGCACCCGGGATCCCGGCTTCCCCGTTTGATGTTTCCCCTTTCCCCGTGGTGTCCCAACGGACTCCGTTTATCGTGCCTATGTCTAGTTTGATGTTTCGGGTACCGTTCGTAGGTTTATGAGTCTATTGTATTGCATGCTAGTTGAATTGGTATCCCGTTGACCTAGGTGGAAGGAGTATGAACCCCTTAGGACTATTCTTAGTATGTGATGGATCACCATAGGTTTTGTTATACGTTTTCTCCCCCTTCCTAATGTGCAATATGGGTTGCAAGTGCTTGCTATGTGTTATGTGTGTGTTACCCCAATTCGGTTGCGACCGGATTGGTTATCCTGAGCTGCGGTTCAGAAGCTGGCTGCGGTTAGATTGATACTCTTGGGCTGCGGTCCACCGTTTGGTTGCGATCAAACGTTTCTATACGAGCTGCGGTTCGTCCTTTTTCCTGGCTGCGGTCAGATGACATCCTCTTGGGCTGCGGTCCACTGTTTGGTTGCGATCAAACACTATGATGAGCTGCGGTTCATCGGTCGGTTGCGATCGACCCCTCCGTGTTGCGATACGGGGCAGGGTGCTGCGGGGCCGTGTCAGAGCTATATGCGCTGACCCTCATGTATGGGCGTGCGATTGGTCCTGTGGCGCCAACAAAGTGTGTTATGTGTTGTGACATGGACGAGTTGTGATTACGAGTGTCTTGGGGGATGTGACTATGGGATTTATATTGGGGATTGTTCATGTTGGGTTATGATCATTGTTATGCTTTGCCTTATCTGCCTTATCTGTTGTGAACTGCATATGCTCGTTATAACTGTCGTTTGTGTCTGGCCTTATCTGTCGAGTCATTCTCGGTTTTAAAGCTAGAGTTCGTAGGATATATCTTCATGCTCAAAATGGTTTTCGTATATCTATATATATCTCTATATGTATTGTATTTCAACGCGTTGGAGTGGGTTACCAGCATCTCTCGCTGAACAGATATATTTGGCTTTCAGGCATAGAGGACTAGAGCACTGGAGCGCGCTAGAACTGGAACGTAGAAGTAGATTAGTCTCCCTTTTCGGCCTGCGCGCCATATTATGCATTGTGTTTCAATGAATACTAGTTAGACAGCCTGTGCACCTGGGTTCTCTAGCCCAAGTGTGGCATAGCACCCCGTACACTTATGATACACTTTGGAATGTAATAAGATATTACCTCTATTATATAAGCTTAAAATGTCTTAAAAATCTGGGGTGTTACACCTGCATTGCACTCGATCAAAGATCTTCCTAGAAATATCAATCCGTCTACACTTGGTGTACAAAGCTACAAATCTAAAAGCGAGTTTGAGACAAATTGATGTGAATGAAACAATCTTCTAACTACATAACCATGGATCTCCTTTCCTTGCTCGATTGTAGAAACATTAGAACATGTAGAGATAGCCCCTACAAATGAAACAGTGTCACGTTCCATTCTCAGTCGGCCCATTTATGAAAATAGAGCAAGAGACTCTTGCCAATCATCAGTCAGAGAATAACCAACAATCAGTGTATTGTAAGATTCCTCCCCTTGCACACATAAACCCATTCTCACACATAAACCATGAACTCCCCCCCCCCCCCCCCCCCCCCCTTGCAAAAATAACCAAGTTCAGCCAAGATCAGTAGCACACTTGAAATTGTAGTTGCATTGAAATCCACACTTCCTTCTCAATCATCAACCTGAAACTAGACAAGGTCTGTTCACAATGCCCATTGTAACCCAAAATGACAATACTTGCATTCCATGAGACATCATTCCTCTCAATCATCTCATCAAAGACTTGTTTCGATGCTTCAACCTCTTTGATGCACAAACTGGCAGTGTGCTCACCACACTAACCGCATTTGGCTTAATCTCAAACCAAAAAAACCTATCTCTGAACACTCTAATCGCATCAAAGCAACAACTATTGTCTGAAAAGGCCCTAACAATCGAGTTCCAAGACACTAAATCCTTCTTAATTAGCCATTTCACCAACCACTTTTTTTGTAGCCAACAAATCACCATAGTTTGCATAGAACGTCAACAAAGTATTATTCATGTACACATCTGAATCGAATCCCACCTTTAGTAACGTTCCAAGAGCCTCCAGTCCTTTCCGGACCTCGAAAAAGTCCAAGCAAAGCTTAAGCACAAAAGGGAAAGTATGATCATCCGGCATAACACCGCTCCTCAACATCTCAGTATACACCATAAACCCATTGTGATCATAAATCCATAGCATCCCATGAGCTTGAATGAAGGTGTTGTAGAGAAAAGGCGAGAGAGCAAAAGTGACGCTCCGGGAGGAGAGGGCCAATTGTGAGAAAAATGGAGCAAGATAGGTGAGAAAAATGGAATGCTTCTCTGCGTCAAATACACTCAAGGCTAAGAAGAAAATGAGGAAGAAGAAAGTAAGATAATGAAAAGACCAATTTGCCCGTTAAACTAACAGCTAAGAAACTGATGGATAATCGAATGACCATTACTGGAACAAATTACAAAGTCAAGTGTCTTTTTTGTCCAAATTAAAAGTCAAGACCAATTATGAAAAATCGCAATAGTGTTAGAAAAGTGATGAAATTGTGAAAGGCTGATAATAGGGAAGTGAGGAGATGAAATCTTCAGGCGTGTAAACACTTTCCTATAAGCTTTAAATCTCCCTCATATAAAGCAACAAGATTCAAGATTTAATCTTATGGGATACAAGAAGATGAATGAAACTCTTAAGTTGCTTTGTTTAAGAATTTCCTGTAGAATTGTAGAACTGTGAAATATCTCAGTATTATGCAATTCTATTGCCTGTGTCTTTCAGATGTTTCTCCAAAATATTTATAGATGCAAAATATATCTGTTTGGAGAAGTTACATGGAAGTTGTTGTAATTTAAAACTCAACTTCCATAAGATAAGATATATCATGAATGATATATCTATCACTGGAGAAATAATTAAATTTATTTTGAGTCAATAATTGTATGCAAAATTATATACATATATATATTTATATATATTCCTTACGAATGTTAAGTGTATGCAAAATTATTCTTTGCAAAACATGCAAAGAATAAATATAAATAATATACATATATGTAGTTTAATAATCTCAAGCACAGACCTACATATTTCAACGCATGTTAAGTGTAATTTTGAACTTGAAATGCAAATTCAAAGTTTATAAGCCGAAATTAATTTGGAAAACATGCATCCTCCGTAAACTTCCACGGTAAATTTCTCCCTGTATTTTAATTAACTCTCTACCAAACTAAAATAATATTTACAACTCCACAACTCCAAATATTATTTAAGCTTTCATGGTAATTCATCTGAAACATTAATCTCCATTACTATATAAATTTCCAACAAATAGTCAGAGGACCATTGCTGAAATTAACTCCATATTTGGATCAAAAGTCTTCTTCAAAATAATGCTAGTTTTCCTAAAATGATGTACAAAAATGCAACTTTCCACCTTGTTTAAATTTTTACATATGGGAGAGAAAATGATATTGTTTTTCTCTAACTGATGCTTTTATAAAAAATAATGTTGTTTTTCTCCAAAATAATGCAATGAAAGTACATACACTACAAGAAAAAAAAAATCAAATTTACGTATATAAAAATAGGTAAGTAAATCACTAACATTAGTATGTATTTAATTTACTGACATATTTTCATAGGTATTTAATTCGTAGCTAAATTCGTAGGTACTTTACTATTTTTTGTAGTGATATTTACAAAAAAAAAAAAAAAAAGACAACCTAGATTTGTCTTCATCATTTATCACATGATTATTTTTCTGAGTTAATTCCACAAGAGGTCTCTTGTCTTTGGTTACAATTTCAAATTTAGTTCCAGCCTATTGTTTTTGTCATTTAACATCCTAGACTATTAATTTTTGGACACTTTTAGTTCTTGTCATGACTTTTCTTATTTTTGGTAAGGACATTTTTGTCTTTTAATATTTTTCTTTTGTTATTTTTCCAGTTTCAACTAATTTAATTGGTTTAGAACTTTAGATAACCTCTTATTTTTAGTAACCATATTTTTCAACCGGTTTTAGTAAAGTCCTAAACCAGTTAAACTGGTTGAAACCGGAAAAATAACAAAAGAAAAATATGAATAAACAAAAATGCTCTTTCTAAAAGTAGGAAAAGTCATGAAAAGTACTAAAAGTGTCAAAAAATAATAATCTGAGATGTTAAATGACAAAAACGATAGTCTAGGACTAAATTTAGAATTGCCACAAAAGACTAACGACCTCTGGTGGAATTAACTCTTATTTTTCTACATTAATAAATATAATAAACTTAAAAAAATTAAAAGCCCAACCCAAACAAGGAATTAACTCTTATTTTTCTACATTAATAAATATAATAAACAATTATGTACATTTTTTATACAATCCCATGTACATCTTTTTTATACAATTATGTACATCCGAAACAAGAAATTTATGTGTATTATGTTAAGGGTTGATGTTTATTATGTTAAAAGTTTATGTATGATGGGGTGTGGACCCCGGCCCAAGAAGAATTGAGAAGCCCAAAGAGAATAAGATGCAGCCCAAGGGAAAAAGGGCGGAGGCCCAGAAAGTAATAAAGCTAGAAAGAAACTTAGACCGAGTCCAGGAGTCGGGTCGACCCCAAGGTCGGGTCGAGGACTTGGCAGAAGCGTCAAAGAGCCGTTGGACGACATTTAAGGAAGCGTTGAAGAACCCGGTCAAAGAGCCGTTGGGAGGCCCAGTAACGGCAGCCCAACGACCTTCAACATAATTAGCAATCAAGGCCTCTTTAATGTATTTGTGCCCGAATTAAAGGAGGGCCTACTATATAAAGACCCCTCCTAAAATGTAAAACAGGCGAGTCCATGCCCAGAGAATAGAGAAACACATTCATCAAAATTACTTGTCCTTCTCTATTTTAATAGCTTTATTGAAAGGTGTATCCACCAACCAAGGTTGTGTTGGACTTCCCTAGGCCTAAAAACCCTAAAACCAACACTGGCGCCGTCTGTGGGGATCGATCCCACGAAGAGTCAAGTTCACTCTTGAGCATCAGAATTCGTAGAGGAAAAGAGGCGAGCGAGCAGGAAGAAGAAGCTTTACAACATGTCTGAAGGAAGAAGCCGTGCCTCCAACCGTAACCATGAGCCGGAAGCCGATTTGAGAGACCAGCAGAACCAGCGAAATTCACATAGTCAAGGAAATGACTCGGCACCCCGAAATCGACCCCCAACAATGATACCTCTCACCCCCGAGCAGATTCGGGCCATTAGTCGAGTGATCGTAGCCGAGACCCGAGAAAGGGGAGAACCGTCGACCTCCCGGCCGCTGAACACACAGCCGCGCAATAAGCAATCGCCCCAAAGGTCGGACGGAGACAGACGAGAAGATCGACGAATGGAGGACCCGCCGGTGCGGTCGGTCCATTTGAGGCTAGGCCCAAACATAACGCGCCAATCGGCGAGAGAGCGATTGGGGGGAGGAGAACCCAGTCGCGTGCCGGTGAGCCAACGAAATCGAGAGGCCGCCCGAGAAAGAACCCGTACTAGAAAAACTCAAACTCGGTCACGACAGACCAAGCGACCCACTCGCAATGAAGAGCGGCAGGCCGAGTCACAGGTCGGCGAAAGTACCGAGTCCACAGGGAATCACACCTGAAATGCCGGAAATGTGGCTCACCTGGCCCAAGAGTTACGGAATCTGAAGGAGCAAGAGGAAGGTAGGACCAAGTACCCAAGTCGGACGTTGCTCACCGCCTTGCCCTTCTCGGCCGAAATCATGGCGTACAAAATTCCCGGCAACTTTAAGTTCCCGGAGCAAGCTACTTTTGACGGATCCGGCGACCCGCGTGAACATCTTTTGAGTTACCAAGCCAAAATGCAGGTCTTGGGGGTCCGGGATCCCGTTATGTGTCGCGCTTTTCTACCAACGCTAAAGGGCTCGGCGCAAAGATAGCCCGTGGCCTTACCCCCAGGCTCAGTTCGCAGCTTTGAAGAGTTGGCTGATCGCTTCATGAGTCATTACGCAGTTAACATCAAGCCCCAAAAAGATTTAACTCATTTGGGAGACATCTATCAAGAGGAAGGTGAGTACCTCAAAATTTACCTAGGCCGGTGGCATAAAGAGATTCAATCCATCGAGGAGTGTTGGTCCCAAAAGAGGTAAGGTGAAAGTCTAGAGGGGGGGTGAATAGACTTTCAAACTTTTTCGCACAGCACAACAATTGCTAAGCCAGAGATAAACCAAGACTCTTAACTAGATTGTTAGAGTATGGTGCACAGCGGAAATAAATAAACATAAAGTGTGTGTGAGATTGTGTGAGCAGTATATCTCGTGTAGAGCGAATATGTAAAGAGCAGTAAGTAAAGAAAGTAGTAAAGAACACAAGACAATTATAGTGGTTCGCGAGGTGGTGTAATCCTCCTACTCCACTTGCTCTTATCTCCAAGTGAAATTCACTATATCTACCACTCCTTGGTTCCAAGATACAATGAATTTCCGTGATCTAGTGCTTTGATCACAAAGCCCGCACTAATCACGCCCAGTGACACCACACTGCTGCTTCGGGTTTCACGTCGCCGCGCTACTATCCCAGGATTTCACGACTCCGCGTTACTTCCCCCCCCCCCCCCCCCCCCCCCCCCGTCTTGCACACTCCGGTAGAAACGTATCCCGTGATCTAGTGCTTTGATCACAAAGCCCGCACTAATCACGCTCAGTGCCTCCGACACTGCTGCTTCGGATCTCACAGCTCCGTGTGACAATCTAGGATTTCACAGCTCTGTGCTACTTTCCTCCCTTCTCCTGTTTTGCTCCAAAACAAGTGTTGTCTTGCTTCCAACTTCTGAGACTCTGTAGATGATCTTCAATGATGCACAGGTCTCTTTGATGAAGATAAACACTCTGGAATGATTTCTCTTGATAGCTCTGAGTGTTTTCTCTCTTTGAATATATCAAGTAAAGCACTTGATATTTTTGCTCTGCTTTGCTCTGTTTAAGAACTCTCTGAATATTTTTCTTTGAAGCTCTCTGAGTTCTTTTTTCTTTTCTCACTTCTCACTTGAAGATTTTTGGTATGCTCTGTACCAAATGAGATTTTTGCTCTATGCTCTTTCAAGCTTAATTGCTATATTCGTTCCCTTTTATGGATTCAAATTTTCTGCTCTCTTGTTCGTGAGTTCCCCCATCTTCAAGTCTTCATATCTTCATCATTTTATAGCTGGTAATGAGAATCTGTCCGTTGGAAAGAGACGCTCTCATTTTTGAAATCTTGTATCTTTTTGTCAGAGATCTTATCTTATCTTCTGCAAAGATGTCAGAAAGGATAAGCTAGCCGTTTGATGGATCTTCATCTTCATGTAAATGAGCTCCCAAACTTAATCCGATATTCCTCTGGTTTAACGTTTGAGTGAGAATATCTGGGTCTCAGTTTTGGTGTAGAATGGCTTCTCTGATCAGCTCTGGAGTGGTCCTTGTATCTTTGG